TAGCTATCTTGATTGGTCTACTCACTATCCTAACATGGCATTTCACAAAGATTTATACAACAAAGTCTCTAAATAGTCTTGCTTATGACCTACGTTACGAACTTCTACAACGTCCGATCTTGAGGATGTGGAACATTTTGAACACTACTGCTGAAATCACAGCTGCTCAAGTTAAGTTGTCTGAGTATGTTATCAGAAGCCATAGTAACCTAGCCAATCAAGCAGAACAAGTTCAGGTAGAGTTTTAATAATTGTTTTCTTTTGAACCGGGATTGATGTTCTAAAACTTATTTGTCTTGTTACAATTTGTGGCAGATGTATGAATCCATGAGGGCTGTAACATGGGCGCTGTTTGCTAGTCGAAAAGCTCTCAACTCGATAACTGTCAAATATAACAACGGTTTTGTTCAGGCATTTCATAGAGACTTGAAGGATAATAATACTTTTTACATTTACACTGATCTTGCATATAATGAGACCAATTCATTTGCAGCAGATGATGAAATTTTGAATGATGAAGAAGTTCATAGTAACAAGTCTGTGATTTGGTACCGAGAACAGCTTGATCCTGTCAGCGGGGAGAAGATCGGAAAAGCAATAAAAATTGCGCCAGAAAACTCTATAAGTATAGCTGGCCTGTCCCAAGTACCTGACAGTGTAGCTTCGTGGAACGTTTCTGTGAACAAGTTTACGGATTCACCTTTACTCTCAGCAGCATTGCCAGTTTGGGATTCTTCTAATAAGAATATTGTTGCAGTTGTGGGAGTAACAACTGCCCTTTATAGTGTAGGGCAGCTAATGAAGGAACTAGTTGACAAGCACAGTGGTCATATATATTTGACCTCGCAAAAAGGCTATTTGCTCGCAACTTCCACAAATGATCCTCTACTGACAAATTCGAGAAAGAATCCTAAGCTTAAAATGGCTGTTGACTGTGATAATGAAGTAATAAGAGAGGGAGCTCAGTGGATACAGAAAACCTATGGGAATGATTTCCCTCCGAGTCATGAAGTTCATGTAGAGAATGCCAGGCTAGGCCACCAGCAATATTACATCGATTCGTTCTACCTGAACTTGAAAAGGCTTCCTCTGGTACATTTTAAGACACTTCACTTGTTCCTTATATTTGCTCGTATAATGTATTTATACATTTCGGTCGGCTTAACCTTTGTGCAGGTGGGCGTAATAATCTTACCGAGGAAGCATATCATGGGGCAGGCAGATGAAAGGGCTTTCAAAACATTGATTATTCTAATATCTGCATCGTTGTGTATTATTGTGATTGGATGTTTTTGCATTTTGATATTAACAAATGGAGTATCAAAGGAAATGAACCTTAGAGCAGAATTAATCAGTCATCTCGAAGCAAGAAGAAAGGCCGAGGCATCAAGCAACTATAAAAGCCAATTTCTCGCAAATATGAGGTTGGCTTTTTTGATTCAGTGTCAATAGTACAGACAACGTTACTTAAGATGAAATAATACAAGGTTTTTCTTGTGTGTTCACAAGTGTTACTCTTCATAGATTTTTCTTGGATGCATTACAGTCATGAACTGAGGACACCGATGGCAGCAGTAATTGGATTACTCGACATTCTTTTGTCTGATGATCATCTAACAAATGAACAATGTGCAACCGTTACTCAAATAAGAAAATGCTCAACCACATTACTCCGTTTACTCAATAACATCTTGGATCTAAGCAAGGTGAGATATAAGCAAAGTTTTTCTCAAACAACTGTTGTGGAAAACTTCTAATATCTTATAGCACATAGGTGGAATCTGGAAAACTTGTCTTGGAAGATGAAGAATTTGACTTGGGAAGGGAACTTGAAGGGCTTGTAGATATGTTTTCTGTGCAATGCATTAACCACACCGTAGAAATTATTTTAGACCTTTCTGGTATGAATATTATTTTAGGTTGCATCAAATTGGTGATTGTAAACCTCTACAAGTTTCTGATTCATCTAGTTAATTTCCCACAGACGATATGCCAAAGCTAGTTCAAGGAGATTCTGCTAGAGTAGTTCAAATTTTTGCAAATTTGATCAACAACTCAATTAAGTTTACTCTATGTAAGTAAGAAGCAAATAGTTCTCTATACAGTAATGTTCATGTCAATATTCAATAGTATACTTCTAGAGAAATTAAAGATTTATCAAATGGTATCAATGAAGTACTGAAACTCTGATGGAAGACTAATCCTAACTCTTTCGATTGGTTTACAGCTGGTCACATTATTCTGAGAGGATGGTGTGGAAACTCAAATTTTTATGGAGATAATGAAAGTTTCACCCCAGAGCCGAAGAAATTGGTGTGTTCCCCGAAGACAAGGATGAAGCAACATGAAAACCATGCAAAGAAGACTTCTAATAGTGATAACAAAATGATAATTTGGTTTGAAGTCGATGACACGGGTTGTGGTATGAGCCAAAAAACTAGTCTAGAAAAACAGCATCAAAAACTGTCCCTTTTGTGGCAAAAGAAAAAACAGTTTAAGACTAAATCATAATGATTTGCTTCACAAGTTTTCAACATTTTTATGGATAACAAATATTTTTTGACACTCGTAGGTATTGACCCGAGTAAATGGGATTCTGTGTTCGAAAGCTTTGAGCAAGCTGATCCATCAACTACTAGACTGTAAGTGATTTAAATAAACAAAAACTATACAAGTCTGTGAGTAATTAAATCACCTTTGTGCGAACAAATCAACACTACCTTGTTATCTGAGATTGTAACTGAATTTCCAAAATTAATTGAAACCTTTGTCCAATAGTTAAAAAGACTTTTGAAAGTCACTTATTTATGATATAAGGAGTTCTTAAACATTTTTTTCATTTCAGGCACGGAGGCACTGGTCTTGGTCTTTGCATTGTCAGATCCTTGGTGAGTAAGACCATTTAATATGTAGTCGAGGCTTATATCAGTTGCTTGTAGAGCAAGAAAATCACGATCTTATTGCTCTTTGGTGACAGGTTAATAAGATGGATGGAGAAATCAAGATTGTCAAAAAGGAGGGCCCAGGAACACTAATGCGATTATACCTGCATCTCAACGTGGCCGTGGATGCCGCAGAACAACATTGTCAAGTAGATTTTGCTAACATTGGCTTAGTGGTGAGTAGTAGAATCATGCTGGCACTTCACTGAGTTGACTGCAAAGATAATAAGCAGAGTCTGAAATAAGAAGTGTCAAATCAATGCAGGTACTTCTTGCACTACATGGCAACATGAGTCGATTAATCACGTCTAAGTGGTTACAGACGAACGGCGTTGTCACTATGGAAGCATCTGAATGGAATGGATTAACACAAATTCTAAGAGAACTATTTCATGAAAGAAATTCAACTCATAATAACAATGACTTTGACGCACCTTATCCGGCTCCCGAGGGTCTGAAATCCAAATTGGTGAGCTTACAGGAATTGACAAACCCGACATTTGTCATTGCTGTTGATATTGATCTACTTGACTTGAGCACAGATATATGGAAGGAACAACTTAACTTCCTTCACAAGTACTACGGAAGAGCGAAATTCATTTGGTTACATAACCATGACTCGGCCAATACCATAAAGACGGAGCTTCGCAAGAAAGGGCGAATACTAACTGTCAACAAACCTCTTTACAAAGCAAAGATGGTTCATATTTTGGAAGCTGTCATAAATGAAAGAAATGTTGAGGCACAAACGCAAAATATGGTTACTTCAAGATTCACAGTGAAAGAAGATGATTTGCATGAAAGTCTAGAGATTGATTATACTCATTGTGATGTTGGAAGCTCAGATGGCTCTGACATATCTGAAATCTGTAGTTCTAATCTTGGTACTGCCAATGGAGATAAGCAAAGAAAAGAGGTAGTTAAATTCAATCAATCATCGATATACCGGAAAAGTAACAGCTTATTAGGATTAAGTAATGAATATACGGAACATAATAGTACTAGTAATGAAGCATTTATTTCAACAAGAGCAAAAGGTGATGATTCCGAAGGTAGTGAAACAAAAAATGTTAGTGGTTCAAGTAAAGGTATAAAAGGAAATAAGTCGCTCGAAGGTCTAAGGATATTGCTTGCAGAAGATACAGCAGTAATTCAAAGGGTTGCAACCATAATGCTTGAAAAAATGGGTGCTAGTGTCGTTGCTGTAGGTGACGGGCAACAGGCGGTGGAAGCTCTAATTGGCACGATTGGTGTTGAAAATTGTATAAACTCAAGAACAACAGACACCGAAATTTTAAGTTTCCTTTCATATGACTTGATCCTTATGGATTGTCAGGTACGTGTGTAAAACATGTAATTCTTTACTTTGAATAAACTTAGGCCATGTTCAGATATACTACAACTTAATTAAACAAAACACTTATAACAGAATCAATAATCATATAAGTGCTTATTTATAAGATACAACTTATTTTCTGATTCACACTGTGTTTGTGAAATAAAGCAGATGCCAAAGATGGACGGATATGAAGCAACAAAAGAAATAAGAAAATCAGAAGTGGGAACTGGATTCCACATTCCAATTGTTGCTCTTACAGCTCATGCAATGTCATGTGATGAAGCCAGATGTTTGGAAGTCGGCATGGATGCTTATTTGACAAAGCCAATTGACTTTAAACTGATGGAATCTACTATTCTTTCACTCACAAGAGAGAATCTTTGACATCTGAAAAATGAGAATAGGATATGATGATGCTAACAAAGTATTGGTCGTATATAGTCTACTTCGAGAAAAAACACTAATTTTATGTCGTCTGCAAGTGTACTTCCGAACAATTTTTGTCGTACGGAGGTAGCGAAGGCAAGTGAGTCGACCAATTATAAATGTATGGTAGTTTACAAAATATCAACATAAGGATAATATGGGACACTTTATTTATAGAAGTCACATATTACTGTGCTCTTTGCAATCAGATGTAGGACACACCAATTTAATAGAGAGACACTTGCTTATTTCTTAAAATCAAAAACATCAATGAAGATTTGAGACTCTAGTTCTTAAAACTTCAACAGAAAAGTACGAATTTCCATAGGGCCAAGCTCGACAACAAAATCTGAAGTGCTGACAGAACCTCCCCTAACTGCTTGAGGTTCTTGTCCTTTGTCCCCTTCAACCTTCCATGTCATCTTCTTTATTTCTGACTTCTCTTGGTTAGCTGATAAGCTTACCTCTTTCAACTCCTTTATCTGTATTAACGAAAGAATACTTAATTCAAATTATGCTAGACTAAGACAGTATATACATCACAAAGACAAGTTAAATATGTACCGTTTTTGAGGCAAACAACTTTTTCAGTTCAACTTTGGCTAGAGTTGAATACTGAGCATCTTCACTTGGCTATAATAATCACATTGAAAACACGAGAATTATATTACAACCAATATATAGCCGTGAAAGAAAGTAAACGCAACGAGGATGATGATGATTTTCATATATTTACCTCGTATAGATGTGCCAAACGGAGAAGAACAATTCCACCATCCAATTCCTGAAAAACATTCAAGTTAATGTGAGAGAGTTAAGAGAGCTATAACATTTATGAGCTGCATTTGATCTACCTCGAGAGTTATCAACGCAACATTAGGAGGCAAGCTGTAATTTGGATCCATGACAGTTCCTGTGGTCAAATGAGAGGATTTCCAGTTTTCCGCATTCTGTTCAATTAAATATCTCATAAGATGTAACATTTAGTCATACGACCGTGATTATTAGTCCATGATGAAGTACCAAAAATTAAGTCTATCAAACCTCATGTGTGAAAGCCAATAAAAGTGGTGAGTAAATTTCTTGAGCAGTTGTACGTCGCCAGCGTGAACCAGCTCCGACATTGTCGATGCTGATATAGTAATTTCCTCTTACCTATGTAGAATTAGATATGACAGGAACAAAGGTGATAAAAAATATATTAGCTATGCAGAGACAGAAGAGAGGAAAACACGAGGATGCATACAAATATAAACGAATTGGTGACACTGCCATACTCTTAGTCCTTCACATGTAACATTAACATCCTGTGTGCAAACTTCTTCGTCGAGTGGCTCTCCTACTCCTCTGCCATCGTCATTGGTAAGCCGCCTTGAGTAGTATTTTGTGTCAATAGATTGTATACGATACAATAAGATTGAAATAGAGAATGAAAATTTAGTTATATACCTATGAACCATCAATTCCACCTCACCATCTTTGATGCTGGATCCACCGGTGGCACGATCAACTAAGACTGAGAATTCAGATTTCTTATCCTTGGTATAAATCCCAAGATTGAGCTGGTGAAAAAAATTAGTTACTTTTGAGATTGAGCGGGACAAATACGATTATATCAAATTAATCAAAGACTACAAAATCGAAACTAATAGAGTAAAAGAATTTTACTGGATAGTAGTTTCCTGCTACAGGCTGAGTAACTTGAAGTGGCCAATCTTCCCTATGATCTCGAACCTGCATCGGAATTTTTTTTAGGACATATAAATACTTTATCCTCATAAGATTTCATATTAAACAGGAGGCAAATGTATGAGTGTTACCCGTTTCAGAAAATCTCTTCCATTAGAATCAGTATAAAACTCCTTGTTTGTGGCCATATTTGTTGTCATTCTTGTGATTACCTCTTTCCCAACTCCATCGTTAGGAATGGGACCAATCTTCATACATAAATTTGTTTCAGAACTTCATTTTTCATTTTACAACTAGATTTTTATTTTTTGGCTAGCATCAAGACATTAGAGTGGTCGGCGAGACAAGGTGACTTACAGTATATTCGATTTCCGCATGGTCTTTGCCCTTGAACAGCCTAGTGACCTAATAAAAAGTAAACAGTCCCATTAAATTTTCAATATTAAATCACTCACATTTGTAGTTTAAATTGGTAGCTTAACATACAAGTTACTGACCTGGTAAATCCAGGAACTAAATGTCTGATGAACCTCATCAACTAGTGGTCCACGGATTACCTTGAGGGGCACCTGCATATCAAATGAATCATAAATGTGTATATAAATAAAAATATTCTATAATAAATATAAAACCGAACAAAAGTGGACACGAAGAATAGAAAAGCTAAGATAATTTGGAGCTTTCTATCGATTTCTTATCGTCTGTTGAGAACCTATACTCACACTTCGTATTATATCTACCTAGTGACATAGGTTAACTGATTAAAGATAGTAACTTACCGATCTTGAAACAATATAGGGAGAGGATCCATTTGGGCGGAATATATATGCACCAGATGCCTACAAAAGAAATCACACCATTGAAGCATACACTAAAATATTTAAATTTATTCTTAGAGCGATACGCGCAAGGAAATCACTCACCTGAGAATCACGACTATCACCCTCACTAGAGGCATACCAAAGGTAGTTTTGCTGAATTGGTATATTTACCTGAGAAATTTTAAAATCATGTTATTTTCTCTCCTACTCACTTGATTTGCATTGAAATCTATAGAACTAAAGTGATTCCTTGCATATGAAGTCAACATAATGTATACTCAGCCAGACACAAAAAAATCATAAGTTCATGACAACAATAGCTATCAGTATATTAAAATTGAAATAGATGATTTCATCGACATTGAGTTAAAATCCCACAATAATATTTGCTACTTTTATTTTCTGATCTATGTCAAAATAGAAAATTTAGCAGTTTTATATTCTGTGAAGGGGACATGTGGTACAATTTATCATGAAAAGCAACCCGGATAACACAAAATTGTGAAAATTCTTCTGAGGTGTAAGAACATGAAAAGTTTCTTACTCCGATTTTGGAATTATATATCCGTTCGAGTAGTCCAGAGGTTGAAGAAAATGACATCTTTAACTTTCCAGGTCCGACGTCAATGTTTTCACCATTCTTATTGTTGAGGTGTGAGAGTTTTCCCTTTCTCCTAGTACCTATCAAGTGGAAACATCAATTAATCATATTAAGTACTGAAAATTATTAAACGAAAACATTATTTTATATTTCATGTAACCACTCTGATAAAAATCAGCAACTCTCACTATCACATAGAACATTTGGAACTTACTTTTTCCAGCTGCTTTAGAAATGAAGTATGTGCTCCAACCAAGTGGAGGTACAGACGCTTGAAACAGAAGCCAATATTTCGGGGCAATTTTCGGAGACAATCCCAAATAGGCCTTGACATAAAATCTTCTTAAATCTGCTGTAACGCTGTCCACATCCACATATTGTACTTCAAGGTTGTTTCCAGATGAATCTTTCACCGCTAGATTAGCTTCATTAACCTGACGCAAATGATCACCTTCAGCATGATACTGGAAATGTTGTATTTGATGATGTCACAAGAAAATTATATATTCTTACTGGTATTCTGACAATATCAGTACGATTCCATCCAAGAGGGTTATACAGCACCACTACCTGAATACAAATCATTAACACGTTACATGAAATCGAACCACCATAAATTTTTGCTCAACAAACTATTATAAAAATATTACCAAATCTTTAGCTGCTGGAATATTGTCTTCTGTTGGAGGGCAGTAACTGATATTGAGTAATTGACACTGCCAAAATCCAGTAATAATGAGAAAAATTAAGGATCTACTTCAACATTTTTTATGTTTTTTTCTTTCTCTGATAATTCTTTCGAAACAATACCTGGGAAAATGTTGATGCAACTGCTGAACTTTGATCGCCAGATTGCTTACTAACAAGATACGCGAAAGAAGAGCTAACAGCTACTTCAGCCTGCAAGACATACGTACTTTTAAAAAATTAATTAATCATATAAACAAACGCCAAACACATAACATAAGTACTTTTGACCTCGGATGCTCCAATAGCCAACCGTTTCGCGTAGTCATCAGTTGTATGTTGTTTGGCAGTTCCAGAGACAGCATCGTGGTGCTGTGCGATTCCTAGAGCATCTGCAAGGTCAAAAGTATTGTATATAGTCGATCGTTTTCCAGCGAAAAATTCAAGTTGACGCGTGGCCTGCATCAAAACGTTGGAGGATTCAAATGTCATGGACTCGTTAAGATTGCTTGAGTGCAAACAAGAAAATTTCAGTTAAAATCGTACCAAATAATATCCACTTAGGAATCTAACATATCGCTTTAAGCCCGGGCGGCTAGTGAAATAGCCTGTCCAGTATGCATATGGACCATCAGCATACCTACAAGAAATCATCAGAAATGTGTGCATAACATAAATAGTTAACAAATCGCAAGCTTCATTTTCATTGCAAACAAAACAGTAGAAGATTCTCACGGGAAGTAGTCATCGGTTTTCAATGGCCACAATTGATTTGCCGCGTTTTTGGCATTGGTATAAATAGATGGAGTAGAATACAAGGCATTCACTCTTCCATCCTGAACAATAAATACAAGGAAACATGTATTAAAACTCAGCACGATACAAATCAACTCGTGTTTAAAAAAAATTAGCAGCATATGAATTATAAATATAAAATAAACCCCTACCTTATTAACATAGTGAATTAATTTATCCATTTGCTTGAACCAAGACTCTGCATATTGATACTGAAAATCATCCCCCATTGTCCACATGATATGGTTTGTCCTCGTAACATTCGCCTATATATAATAAGTACAATCAAATCAAATTCACACATTCTTGTCCATTTGGATTTCAAAATTCATGGATAGAATTGGCCTACTTGGATAACAGCAGCGTCGATAAAATCTTGGACACGCTGTTCAATATTGGGATCAAACAAAAGAGGATCATCCTGCATTTGTAAAAGGTGACATGCAAATGTTAAACAAAACAAGCAAAATAACTATAACTCTAAGCATTGGCATTTTAATTGGTTTGCGTTATGGAACCTGTAATGGAACGACGTTATCGGAGGATCCAAGTTCAAAATTGAAACCCTTTGGAGCACTATAATGAACGGGAAAAGTGTTGGCAAAAATTTGAGATGAAGAACCAAATGTTTTAGAGGCACGCCAAATAACTTCGAGAGATTTGTCATTTCTGCGCTTAGCTCTATCTCCATAATCAATTCTTGCAAAGTGTACAGAATCAAACCCAAGCTGCAAAGCCAAATCAAATCAAAGTGTTCAATTGTTATCATTGAGCTGCTTAATATGGTTTGAAGTACTTCAAATTCTCAAAATCTACTCAGAAGTCTAACAAAATGAATTGATTAAATTATTCTCAACATTCTTTTAACAAATTAAAATGTCAAATGTTAATCTAAATAATGTGAAAAAATCACAATCGATCATCCTATAATTCTTTTCAAATTTCATCACATTCTTACTAAACAACCTTTGAACTTTAAAATTTTTTTAACCAAATAAAAACTTTTAGGTATCAAATTAACCATCAAATCTTCAAATACTTTAATGCAAAAATAAGAATGTATGGATTTGTGAGGTGTCTCATATTTGACACTAACACAAAATTGTTTAACGTTTTTGATCAAATTATCATCAATATTATCTTATTGTATAATGTTTTTTCGTGCCTATTTTCGTACTTCATAAATTTTAATAATACATAAATTTTTAAAATTAAGAAACAGAATTGATTAAAATATTATGAAAGAGTCACATTATTTGGAGACTAAAAGTCTAAACTAGTGACAAAAATTATGAATGACCTGAGATCATAGACAGAGAAGTGAAAATATAATCAAATCAAAAGAATTTTGGAAAATGAAATGCTTGAAAAAGTAGTTTGACAATTATTATATCTAAAGATATAGCACTAAAAGAGGGACCAAATAACTTTTTTTTTGTCAATATGCTACTAAATGGAATTGAATTGGATGTACACACCTCAGCACCAAGTAGGTAACCTTGAACAGCAGAGTGTCCAAAAGGATCAATCTGCCAACCAGCTTTAGGGGTTGCATTAAATTGGTCCTTTATAAACCGATGCCCTAAAGTTGTTTGGTCTATCATGTCTATGTAGTGGACTGCTGCTTCATCATGCATACACCAACCACCATTTCTGCCGACAAAATTACATAAATACTATAGTCATAGTAAAAAAAATATGTACAACTATGTTCCGTCAATATTACTCAGTTGATAGTTGCATAGACATTTGATATGTTAGGGTGCGAGTTTGAATCTGCTAAAATATTTCGAACAAATATTATGTATTACTTACACGAATTCTAGCCGACCAGTGGCCACAAGCTTCTTCACTTGTTCTTGTGTTTCTGGACTTTGTTCTACCCACCATCGATGGAAAAATGCCTATAAAAAAAGTTATAATTTAAATTAATATATACTAAATTTGTCTATAAAAAAACAAGTGTTTAACATGTTGATTATGAGTTTGGCATCATTTGAACATGGCTAATTACTAGGTTTGGATGTTTGGTTGTATATAGAATCTAATCAAAATTTTGAGGTAAAGTTTAGAAGCTTACTATCTCTGCAAACACAAACTTTCTATTTGGATCCTTTTGAAGAGAACCAACCACTGAGTCCAACACATTTTCAACACATGCACCCTACAAAAGAAAAACATTCATTGTTATGTTGTGAAACCAAACATGAATTTAAACATATGAATGAATATGATTGAAACCTGAATTGTATTATTGGAGCCAACATAGTACTGATCAACTGTCTTAAGCCAACCAACATCGTCATGGGAGTGCGGAACCAAGTGAACATTCAATTTTCCTTCAACAACCGTAGCTCCAGTGTTGTACTTTGTGTATGCAGAAACAAGTGTTCCATAGAAACATATCAAAAGAAGAACTAAAGTCCTTGCTTTTCCCATTTTAACTGTCGAGACTCTGCTGAGTCTGCGAATATGATGATGTATTAATTTTGTTTACTTATTCAAATGATTATATGTATATAAACCAAAACTGAATATGAGAGCAATAATAAATTGAGCATTGTTTCTTTGCATAAGAGTGCCGGCCTATGTGTTCTTTTTTGTTGTGAGTGATTGCCACAAGGTTCAAAGTGGGGACAAAATTATTAAAGGTGAGATTAGTTTAAGAGATATAAGGGAGAGTAACTCCAAAAGATAACATGTCATAAAATTGTTTCAAGGTATTCTTATAGTCTTCACCTACTTCTTTTTTGTGTGATCAATTTAGAAGAAAATGAAATAAAAAAGTTGGACCCATCATCCTTTTCAGTAGAGAAAAAAATCTTATTTTGTTAACTTTTTGTGATTTTTTAGTTTATTTAAGGAATTAAAATTTTTATGTTAAGCTTAAATAGTTTTCATACTTTTTTTTTTTTTACTGAAAATTGAAAGCATGTAATAACCTATAACTTATATTTTTTATTTTTAAAATTCTTTACATTTTTAATGATGTGCTCAATTTTGATAAGAGGATATTGAAATTGTTTGAATTTAAAATAAAAATTGTGAACCAAAAAATAAAGGATTAGAAATGGTGATCAAGCCTTTTATTTGATAATTATTTATCTATTTTATTATAATTTAAATTTAAATATTAGGAGCATTATTGTATTTCTAAAGGTGTATTGAGTTAAGATTTTAAAAGATTATTTTTTTTAAAGGCAAAATACATTGATTGATATGAGAAGTGCTAAATCTCAACTGTTAAAAATATTTGATCAAACAATTATATTAAATAAAATAAATAAATAATTAAAATATATGGTCTAATCTTTCTCTTAAATAACAAGTTATTTATATAACTGTTTGATCAAATATTTTAAACTGTTGAGATTTAATGTAAGTCTTTTTAGACTTACAAAGTGTATCGTGTCTATCAAGATTTAAAAGATTATATTATAAAATTTTATAATATTATTTAAAGAAGCGTGATCCATTGTCACCACCAAATCTCAATCGTTAATAACACTTGATCAAATAATCATATTAAATGAAATAAATAAATAAATATAATATATAACTTAATCTTTCTTCTAAAAAATTAATTATTTATATAACTGTTTGATCAAATACTTTTAATAATTGAGATTTAGTATAAAATTTTTTAGACAGTCAATAAATCCCACCCTTATTTGAAATACCTTTATAGGTTTATAAAATTTTAAAGTACTAACACATTATTTTCAATACACATTCTTTTATTTATTGAAATTTAGATTCTTTTAGAAAATTTCACTAATTAATCTTACAAAGTTCATCCATCAAAAGTCGCTTTATTAAACAATCTAAATTAAAATGTACCGTTTTAAAAAAAAACACTCAAAATTTAATGGATCAAAACTAAAAACAAAATAAATTAAAAAACATATGAAAACACATGATTTGATCTTTGAATAGATTTAATTTTTTTATCAATCTAAAAAGTATCAAATAATAACCTCAACTAATAGGACATTGTATAATTGTAATAATTTAGTCAAATTGCGTTAATTTGAATATTTACTTTTGCTCTAATTTAGAATAATGTTTATGTTTTAATAGACTTCGATAGTAGAGTTTGATTATATATATATATATATATATATATATATATATATATATATATATATATATATATATATATATATATATATATATATATATATATTGTTGGAAATCCATCAAATTCTATGATGAATTTCTACCACAATGACAATTTAATTATGAGACAAACAAAGAAAAGAAGACAAGACAAATGTTTCTGCAGAATTTCTCTCTGCCCACAAACTGTGGAAAACTTTCTTAATCACTTGCAACTGCAAATTCCGTCATTACAATGAATTGACTTACTTGACTTACTTTGAAAAATAGGGGTTACTCCCTCTATTTATAACTGAGCTTACACCATAAGCCCAAAACCCAAAATATATTTTTGTTACTAAATCAAATCAAATCTATTCTGGACTTAAATCAAATATATTTAAATCTAAAATAAATCAAATCTTCTTTGACACTATGAATTACAATTTAACACACCACCTAATTCATTGTGTCTAAACTGTCTATGTTCATCATGACTCTTAGCTTTCTGAATACTTCGACTTGCACTCCCTTCGTCATGATGTCTGCAATCTGATTCTCAGTTCAGCAGTGTTCCAAATTCATCTTCCCATCTACTACCTGCTCTCGAAGATAATGGAATCTCATTTCGATGTGCTTACTTCGACCATGTGCTATTGGGTTCTTTGCAAGATTAATAGCTGACATGCTGTCTATCTTCATGGTAATTGCTCCATGATTTTTCCCTGTTATCTCTTCGACCAAGTTCACCATCCAAGTTGCTTGACATGCACAAAGAGAAGCAGCTATGTATTCTGCTTCGCATGATGATAATGCCACTACTGGTTCCTTTCTTGAATTCCAAGCAATTGGTGCACCACCTAGCATAAACACATATCCTGCTGTTGACTTTCGATCTTCAACATCACTACACCAACTCGAATCAGTGTATCCCACTAACTTGCATTCTTTTCCTTTATCAACTGCAGGAAACAAAATGCCATAATCGAAAGTTCCTTTGAGATACCTTAGTATCCTCTTCACTGCTGCTAGATGTGATACCTTTGGCTTCTGCATAAATCTACTTACCATACCTACATTGTATGCTAAGTCAGGCTTTGTATGACAAAGATATCTTAATGATCCAATAAGTCTTCTGTATTGGGGTGGATCAACATCATCTTCATCTGTATCTTTCGACAGTTGCAGTCTTGGTTCTGCAGGTGTCGAAGTTGAGTTGCATTCTTCCATCTCAAACCTCTTGAGAATTTCTCCTGCATATCTTCTTTGATGCATCATCAAACCTCTACTGCTCTTATAGAATTCGATACCAAGGAAATATGAAATCTCACCCAAATCAGACATTTCGAATTCCTTGCTGAGATCACCTTTGAAGTCTTCGATCTCACTTTTACAGCTACCTGTTATCAACAAATCATCTACATAGAGACATAGTATAAGCAATTTACTCTTGCTTCTTCTTACATATACTCCATGTTCAGTTGTGCACTTCACAAATTCCTTCTCCCTTATAAAACTATCAATTTTCTTATTCCAAGCCCTTGGAGCTTGTTTCAATCCATACAAGGCTTTATGTAGCGTGTACACCTTTCTTTCTTCATCATGTTTCACAAACCCAACTGGTTGTTTAACATAGACTTCTTCATCTAAGGGTCCATTTAGGAATGCACACTTCACGTCCATCTGACATATGTGCCAACTGTTTATTTCTGCTAGACCAACAACCAACCTGATTGTTTCGATCCTAGCAACATGTGCAAAAACTTCGTCGAAGTCTATTCCTTCTTTCTGTAGAAATCCTTTCGCCACAAGTCTTGCTTTGTGTCGAGTTACTTCACCTTTCGAATTCGTTTTCACTTTGTATACCCACTTGACATCAATTGCTTTCTTGCCTTGAGGCAATTCGACAAGTGACCAAGTGTTGTTGTCTTCGATAGACTTTACTTCTTCGTTCATTGCTTTCACCCACTTCGAATCTTTTAATGCTTCAGCTGCATTAACAGGTTCGACATCTGCATAGAAAGCATAATGTACCAGATCACCTTCATTATCTATTACATCATCTGATGTAATCACACAATCTTGCAGGCATGCGTCTTGTTCTTTGAGGTCTGCTTGTACTTGGTATATCTGCTGGTTCCTCTTGTCGAACTTCTCTTTCGACTTGAGTTTCTGGCTCTTCGAATAGGATTCCCACTAAATCTTTCTTGACATTTGCAGTCCAATCCCATTCTTTAAACTCATCTATGATCACGTCCCTGCTGATCACACTCTTCTTGTTCTCTGGATCGAACAACTTGTAGCCTCCTGTCGAATGATATCCAACTAGGATCATTTGACTTGACTTGTCATCAAGTTTTCTTCTCAACTGATCTGGCACATGTCTATGTGCAATAGATCCAAATACCTTCAGATGACTCAAGTTAGGCTTCACACCAGACCAACATTCTTCTGGAGTAATTCCTTCTAGCTTCTTTGTAGGACATCTGTTCAAAATGTATGTTGCAGTCGAAACAGCTTCACCCCAAAACTCTTTAAGTAAACTCTTGCATTTCAACATACTTCTCACCATATTCATGATGGTTCGATTTTTCCTTTCTGCAATTCCATTTTGTTGTGGAGTATAGGGTGGCACCACCTCATGCACAATCCCTTCCTTTTCACATAATCCGTCGAAGTCTTTCGACACATATTCTCCACCACCATCAGTTCTCAAAACTTTGAGCTTTCGACCACTTTGTCTTTCGACCATAGACTTAAACCTGATAAATACTTCGATCACTTCACTTTTCTTCTTGATCAGGTAAGTCCATAGCTTTCGACTTAAATCATCAATGAATGTAACAAAGTATTTGTTACCTCCCATCGAATCCACCTGGATTGGTCCACATACATCAGAGTATATGACTTCAAGACTAGCCTTATATTTGCTTCCTGCATCCTTGCTAAAGTTATTCTTGTGTTGCTTCGCCTGCACACATTCCTCACATACCTCGTTTGGAATGTCAATTTCTGGCAATCCTGAAATCATATTTCTTCTCTTCAAATCTCTGATGTCTCTGAAGTTGAGATGACCTGGTCTATAATGCCATATCCATTCATCTCTGCTAGCTGCAGTCGAAAGGCACTTGTGCTCCATCACATTTAGTTCAATCTTGAAGGTTCGATTCTGAGACATAGGAGCCTTCAAGATTACTCTCCCATTTGCATCAACAACTCTCATCAACTTATCTTCGATTGACACTTTATAATTCTTTTCGACCAACTGCCCTATACTGAGCAAATTGCTCTTCATGCCTGGTATGTACAACACATTGGAGATCACTGGCCTTTTGCCATCT